GCTGCACCAACTTGCATTCCCACCAACAGTGTAAGAGGGTTCCCCTTTCTCCACATCCTCTCCAACACTTTTTGTTTCCTGTCCTGTTGATTTTGGCCACTGTAACTGGCGTAAGGTGGTATCTTAATGTAGGAAATGAACTTTTGGGACTTCATCAAGATAAAAAGCTTCTGCACAGCAAAGGAAACAGTCAACAAAACAGAAACAACCCAGAGAATGGGAGAAGATATTCGCAAATGACACTATAGACAAAGGGCTGATATCCAAATCTATAAAGAACTCCTCAAAGTCAACATCCAAAAACAGATATTCATGTCAAAAATTGGGCAGAATACATGAACAGACACTTCTCCAAAGAAGACACACAAATGGCTAACTAACACAAGAGAAAATGTTCATCATCACTAGCCATCAGGGAAACTGAAATCAAAACCACGTGATTTGTTTTTGATGTAGTGTTCAATGGTTCATTACTTAAGTATAACACCCAGTGCTCATCAAAGCACGTCCCCTCCTCAATACCCAAAGTATATTTTTTATTTATGTTTTGATTTCTTTTTTGATTTATATGTTGTTCAATGGCATGTTGTTTTATGTTCATATTTGTGAATTATCATTTCATGCAATTAATTTCTCCTTATAATTTTTTTCTAGTTTTCTTTTTAAAGATTGTATTCATTTATTTGAGAGAGAGAGAGAGAGCATGAGCAGGAGAGAGGCCAAGGGAGAGGGAGAAGCAGACTTCCCTCTGAGCAGGGAACCCAATATGGGACTTGATCCCAGGACCTTGAGATTATGACCTGAGCCAAAGGCAGATGCTTAACTGACTGAGCCACTGACACACCCATATTTTCTTTCCTCTTTCTTTCTTTCTTTCTTTCTCTTTCTTTCTTTCTTTCTTTCTTTCTTTTTTATTGTTAAGTCATGTTAGTCACCATACAGTAAATCATTAGTTTTTGATGTAGAGTTCCATGATTCACTGTTTGCATATAACACCCAGTGCTCCATGCAATACCTGCCCTCCTTAATACCCATCACCAGGCTCACCCACCCTCCCCTCTAAAACCCTCAGTTTGTTTCTCAGAGTCTATAGTCTCTCATGGTTAATCTTCCACTCTGATCCTCCCCCTTCATTTTTCCCTTTCTTCTCCTAATGTCCTCCATGCTATTCCTCATGTTCCATAAATAAGTGAAATCATATGACAATTGACTTTCTCTGCTTGACTTATTTCACTTAACATAATCTCCTCCCATTCCATCCATGTTGATACAAATGTTGGGTATTCATCCTTTCTGATGGCTGATTAATATTCCATTGTATATATGAAACACATCTTCTTTATCCATTCATCTGCTGAAGGGCATCTCAGCTCCTTCCACAGTTGGGATATTGTGGACATTGCTGCTATGAACCTGGGGTGCATATGCAAAGATACATCTGTATCTTTGGGGTAAATACTGAGTAGTACAATTGCAGGGTCATAGGGTAACTCTATTTTTTCAGGAATCTCCACACTGTTTTTGAATGTGGTTGTACCAGTTTATTCCCACCAACAGTGTAAGAGGGTTCCCCTTTCTCCACAACTTCTCCAACATTTGTTATTTCCTGCCTTATTAATTTTAGCCACTCTGACTGGTGTGAGGAGGTATCTCAATGTGGTTTTGATTTGAATTTCCCTGATGGCTAAATATTGATGAACATTTTTTTCACGTGTCTGTTAGCCATTTGTGTCTTCTTTGGAGAAATGTCTGTTCATGTCTTCTGCCCATTTTTTTGAATTATTTGTTTTTTGGGTTTTGGATTTGAGGAGTTCTTTATAGATATTGGATATCAGTCCTTGTGTGTAGTGTCATTTGCAAATATCTTCTCCCATTCCATGGGTTGCCTCTTTGTTTTGCTGACTGTTTGTTGTGCAGAAGCTTTTTATCTTGATGAAGTCCTAAAAGTTCATTTTTGTTTTTGTTACCCTTGCCTTTAGAGACGTGTCTTGAAAGAAGTTGCCATGGCCGATGTTGAGGAGGTTACTGTCTATGTTCTCCTCTAGGATTTTGATGGATTCCTGTCTCACACTGAGGTCTTTCATCCATTTTGAGTTTATCTTTGTGTATGGTGTAAGAGAATGGTCGATTTTTATTCTTCTTTATATAGCTGTCCAATTTTCCCAGCACAATTTATTGAAGAGACTATCTTTTTTTCCATGGAATACTTTATTCCTGCATTGTCAAAGATTATTTGACTGTAGAATTGAGGGTCCATATCTGGGCTCTTTATTCTGTTCCATTGGTCTATGTGTCTGTTTTTGTGCCCATATTTTCTAGTTTCAAACCACTATGGTCAGAATAGATGCTTGTCATGATTTCAATCTTCTTAAGTTTATTAAGATGTGTTTTATGTCCTAACATGTGATCTGTCCTGGAGAGTGTTCCATGTTCAACAGAATTTATTCTGCTGCTTTTGGATAGAATATTATATGAATGTCTAAGTCTGTCAGGCCTGACATGTAGTTTAAGTCCAGTGTTTTCTTATTGGCTTTCCATCTGGATGATCTGTTGAAAGCAAAATTCCCCACTATTAATTGTATTACTGGATATTTTTCCTTCAGATGTTAATATTTGCTTTATGAATTTAGGTACTCCTATGATATTCTGAAATATCATATCCTTTTATTGGATTAACCTTTTTTTATTGTGCTATGTTAGTCACCATACAATACATTATTAGTCAGGGAAATTCAAATCACATGGAGATACCACCTTACACCAGTTAGAATAGTTAACAAGGCAAGAAACAACAAATATTGGAGAGGATGTGGAGAAACGGGAACCCTCTTACATTGTTGGTGGGAAATGCAAGTTGGTGCAGCCACTTTGGAAGACAGTGTGGAGATTCCTCAAAAAATTAAAAATAGAGCTACCCTGTGACCCTGCAATTCCACTACTGGGTATTTACCCCAAAGATATAAGTATAGTGAAAAGAAGGGCCATCTGTACCCCAATGTTTATAGCAGCAATGTCCACAATTGCCAAACTGTAGAAAGAGCCAAGATGCCCTTCAACAGGTAAATGGATAAAGAAGATGTGGTCCATATACACAATGGATTAACTTTCTTATTATTCCATAATGACCTTCTTTCTCTTATTACAGTCTTTGGATTAAAATCCATTTTGGTGGAAATAAGCAGCACTACAACTGTTTTCTTTCAGGTTCCATTCGTATGGACTAATTTGTCCATACCTTTACTCTCAGTCAGTGTGTGTCAGTGTGTATATAGTTTAGCTGAAGCGAGACTTTGAGGGCAGCATACAGTGATTTTGTATATTTTTTATCCATTCATCCACTGTCTTTTGATTTGAAAATTTAGTACATTTACAATTATTTATCTTAATATGTTCAGTTAGCCAACATATTGTACATCATTAGTTTATGATATAGTGTTCAATGAATCATCAGTTGTGTATAACACCCAGTGCTCATCACCACATGTGCTCTCCTTAATACTCATCACCCAGTTACCCTATCCCCCAACCCCTCCTTTCTGTAACCCTCAGTTTGTTTCCTAGAGTCCATACTCTCTCATGGTTTGTCTCCTTCTCTGATTTCTCCCCCTTCAGATTTCCCTCCCTTCCCCTATGGTCTTCCATGATATTCCTTATGTTCCATGTATGAGTGAAACCATACATTTAAAGTAATTATTTATAGGTATAGACTTACTTTTGTGATTTTGTTATTTTCTGGCTGCTCTGTAATTCCTTTGTTACTTTCTTCATCTCTTCCTTTGTGATGTGGTATTGTTTTGTGATGTGGTATTTTTCTATTGTGATATAGTTAGATTTCCTTCCCTTTATCTTCTGTGTATCTACTACAGGTTTTTGCTTTGTGGTTACAATGAAGTTTACATTAAACATCTTATATTTATAACAGTATATTTTAAGCTGATAATAAGTTAATACTGCATGCATACTAAAACTTTTCATTTTTACTTTCCTCCACCCACATTTTGTTTTTTTGTTTTTTTATGTTCAATTAGACAACATATAGTACATCATTAGTTTTTGATGTAGTATTCAACAATTCATTAGTTGCATATAAATTTGATGCCATAATCTACATTTTTCCCTTGTGTATCTACTAAGAAATTATTGTAGTTATAGTTATTTTAATACTTTTGTCTTTTAACCTTTAGACTAAATTTATAGGTGATTTACCTATCACCATTAAACCATCAGAGTATTCTGAAATTAACTAATGTATTTACATGACCAGTAAGATTTATACTTTCATATGTTTTCCTGGTACTAATTAGCATCCTTTCATTTTAGCTTGAAGAAATCCCTTTAACATCTCTTGTAAAGCCTGTGCAGAGATGTAGACTTCCAGCCATGCCTTATGTGGAATTCTTGAAATTTGGAGTGCTAGATGTTGAGTACAAACCATTTGCTTCTCAGGGAGAATAGAATTGTGAGCTACTTTGCAAGTCTATGTTTTTTTTGCAGGGGTGGGACTTATGGTGACAGTGTATCTCAGCCTTTCTTGACCATTTCACTGTGTGTATTTCCTCATTTGTCTGATGTATAGAAGTCACTCAGCTAGTTTCTGATTTATTTCAAAGAGATTTGTTCCATGTATAGCTGTAGATTCAATGCATCCATGGGAGGAGGTGCATTCAGGACCTCTTAAGATACCGTCTTGGACCAGAACTCCTCTCTAGACCAAGCTTTAGTCAGACTTACAAAGAAAAATCTTTTGAATACTTTTTTCCCTGCATTTACATTGTCATAGCCTGTAAGAAACGGTTCATGGACTGGTAGCGTTTTGAGTATTTCTGCCATGCATGCAGTCATGGCTCCTGAAGTGGTGATCTTGAATCCTAGACAACCTCTGTGAGGTGCAGTGTGTGTGTTCATCAGAGAGGCCAGAGTTCATATGAGGCAGAGCAACCCTAGAAGGTGGAGAGCATAGAAATATTAACAGAAGAATCTGATCTCATGGCCACAGGTACTTGGGAGCCAGCACAGCTTCTTGAGCAAGGGAATAGCATGAAGGTAGTCACATTTTAGCAGCCAGAGCTCTGCAGGAGGTTGGAACATCATGGTGATCTTGTGCAACCTACTCATTTTAAAGATAAAAAAACCATTATGTAAATAATTCACCAATGGAACCAAAGCTAGCACCCTAAAACTAACACTCCAAAATATAAACATATTTATAAAGAAGGTTTTGAAAAAGAACTGAATAAAATATGCACAGGAAATAGCTTGTATGCCTTGCCATATTTAAAGTTAGGTGATGCTGGAATGCCAAGAGCAGTTAAATCTACAAAAATACTGTGGAAGACCTTAACTTGACCCTGCCTGAGAAAAATTTTCTGATGTTTAATTGTCTTTGCAAAGATACTCTTAATTCAATGACGTGGGCAGTTTTTAGGACTCTCCATTCCCAACAGCTATGTGACATGCATTAGCCATGATCATGGAAGCATGAAGAAAGCAGACAACTACAGAAGATATTATGGAACTATAAAAATTCAAGGACTGAAAGTGGCAATGTAAAGTTGCAATTAGCCTACTTTTATTCTTTTTTGGATGACATTTCACTAATGTACATAAACTTGCAAATAACACAATAAAAATGCAAAGATGTGTCTCCTGAAAAAAAAAAAAAGAAAGAAAAAAAATTATTTTTAGTGAATTCTATCCAAAATTTAAAGAATTAATACCAAACCTTCTCAAACTCTTCCAAAAATAGAAAAAGAAACACTTCCAAAATCATTTTAAAAGTTCAGCATTACCTTGATACCAAAACCAGACAAGAACTCTACAAGAAAACAAAATTATAGGCCATTATCCCTGGTGAACGTATATGCAAAAATCCTCAAGAAAATATTAGCAAACCAAATTCAAAAATACATTCAAATAATCATGCACCATAGTCAAATAGGATTTATTCCAAGGATGCAGGGATGATTCAGCACCTGCAAATCAATCAATGTGAGACACAAATTTAGTAAAACAAAAGGTAAAAATTATATGACCATTTCAATAGATGCAGAAAAAGTATTTGACAAAGTTCAACATTGATTCCTGATAAAAACTCTCAGAACACTGGCTACAGGCATCATGCACCTCAATATAATAAAGGTCATATATGACAAACCCACAGCTAAATTCTCAATGGTGAAAAGCTGAAAGCTTTTTCTTTAAGATCAGGAAAAACAAGGATCCACTCTCACCACTTTTATTCAACATAGTATTGGAAATCCTAGCAAGAGCAATTAGATAAAATAAATTAAAAGTATCCAGATTGGGGAGAAAAAGAAGTAAAACTGTCACTATTTGCAGATGACATGTTTTGTACTTGGAAAACCTAAAGACTCCACCAAAAACTGTTAAAACTAATGAATAAGTGAAGTTGCAGGACATAAAATCAATAAACAAAACCCAGTTGTGTACACACCAATAACAGACTATCAGAAAAGAAATTAAGAGAACAACCTCATTTACAATTCTATCAAAAGAATAAAATACCTAGAAATAAATTTAAGCAAGGAGGTGAAAGATTCATACATTGAAAACTATAATACATTGATAATATAAACTGAAGAAGACAAATAAATGAAAAAAATAGTCTGTATTTATAGATTGGAAGAATTGATATTGTTTAAATGTCCATATGACCCAAAGCCATCTACAGATTCAATGCAATCCCTAATAAAATTTCACTGGCATTTTTTACAGAATTAGAAAAATAATTCTTAAATGAATATGGAGCCAACAAAAGACTCTGAATAGTCACAGCAATCTTAAGAAGAAGGCTGGAGGCATCACATTTCTTGATTTCAAACTATATTACAACATGTTAAAAATTGAGACAGTATGATATTGGCCTAAAAAGAGACACATAGATCAATGGAACAGAATAGAGACCCCAGAAATAAATCCATACATATCTGGTCAATTAATTTGTTGCTAAGGAACTGAGATATAAATGTAATTAAACATATAATCATGTCAAAAAATGGGCAGAAAACATGAACAGACACTTCTCCAAAGAAGACATACAAATGGCTAACAGACACATGAAAAAATGTTCATCATAATTAGCCATCAGGGGGAATCAAATCAAAACCACATGGAGATATCACCTTACACCAGTTAAAATGGCCAAAATTAACAAGACAGTAAACAACAAGTGTTGGAGAGGATGTGGAGAAAGGGGAACACTCTTACACTATTAGTGGGAATGCAAGTTGGTGCAGGTACTCAGGAAAACAGTGTAGAGATTCCTTAAGAAATTAAAAATAAAGCCACTCTATGACCCTACAATTGCACTACTGGGTATTTACCCCAAAGATACAGATGTAGTGAAAAGAAGGGCCATCTGTACCCCAATGTTCATAGCAGCAATTGCCACAATTGCCAAATTGTGGAAAGAGCCAAAATGCTCTTCTTGGACATCTTGATGAATGGATAAAGAAGATATGGTCTATATATACATTGGAATATTATGTCTCCAACAGAAAGGATGAATACCCAACTTTTGTATCAACATGGATGGGACTGGAGATTATGCTGAGTGAAATAAGTCAAGAAGAGAGTCAATTATCATATGGTTTCACTTATTTGTGGAGCATAAGGAATAACACAGAAGACATTAGGAGAAGGAAAGGAAAAGTGAATTGTGGGGAAATGGAGGGGAAGACGAACCATGAGAGACTGTGGACTCTGAGAAACAAACTGAGGGTTTTGGAAGGATGGGGGTGGAGGGGTAGGTGAGGCTGGTGGTGGGTACTAAGAAGGGCATGTATTGCATGGAGCACTGGGTGTGGCACATAAACAATGAATCTTGGAACACTGAAAAAATAAAATTAAATATAAAAAAGTAATTAAATAGATGTTAATAAATAATAAAACTGAAAAAAACTTAAATATCTGGAAATTTAAGACACATCCTCATAACTCACAGGTCAAAGAAGAAATAATACTGAAAACTTAAGCAGGTAAAACTAAGTGATACTGAAAACTCTGAATACCAAAACTTCGATGATACAGTTAAACCAGTATTTACATGAAACTTTCTAGCAACTTCTCACTTGGTAAAATACATCTACTCACATCCTATAATGAAAAATTAATAACGAGATATTAACATGGTTTTTGCTAAAGATTTAGTACTGTTAAAATATCCATACTACCTAAAGCAATCTACAGATTCAATCCAATACCTATCAAAATCTCAGTGGCAAGACCTCATTCTCTTTTAAGGCTAATATACCATTGTATACCTTTATCTTTATCCATCTTTACCCACATCTTTATCCGTTCATCTATGGATAGACAATTGGGTTGTTTCCAGATCTTATCTATTGTAAATAATGCTGCAATAAATATAGGGGTTCATATAGCTTTTCAAATTAGTGTTTTATTTTGGGGGATTAAACACTCAGTACTGGAATTACTGGATCATATAGTAGTTCTATATTTAACTTTTTGAGGAACCTCGATACTGTTTTCCACAGTGGATGCACCAGTTTGCATTCCCACCAATAGTGCATGAGGGTTCCTTTTACTCCACATCCTCACCAACACTTGCTGTTTCTTATGTTGTTGATTTTAGCCATTCTGACAGGTGTGAGGTGGTATCTTATTGTAGTTTTAATTTTTATTTCTCTGATGAGTGATGCTGAACGTCTTTCCAAGTGTCTGTTGGCGATCTGTCTTTCTTCACTGGAGAAATGTCTGTTCATGTCCTCTGCCCATTGAAAGAAAGAAAGAAACTGGATTCTTTCTTTCTCTTTTTCTTTTCTTTTCTTTTCTTTCTTTCTTTCTTTTTTTTTTTCTTTTTGATATTGAGTTGTGTAAATTCTTTATATATTTTGGTTATTAACCCCTTATTGGATACATCATTTGCAAATACCTTCTACCATTCAGTGGGTTGTCTTTCTGCTTTGTTCATGGTTTCCTTTGCTGTGAAAAGCTTTTGCATAGTCCCAATAGTTTCCCTTTTGTTTCCCTTGCAAAAGGAGACATATCTAGATGAAAAAGATTAAAGATGACACAAAGAAATGAAAAGATGGAGTGGAAGAACCAATATTGTTAAAATGTCCTAACTTCCCCCAAGCAATCTACAGATTTAATGCAATCCCTACCAAAATATCAACAGTATTTTTTGCAGAACTAAGACAAATAATCCTAATATATATGGAACCACAAAAGGTGTTAAATAGGCAAAGCAAACCTGAAAAAGAAGAGCACAACTGGAGGTATCACAATCTCAGATTTCAAAATACATTGCAAAGCTGTTCATTTGCTTTGGTTCTTAAATTCCACACATAAGTGAATCCCACGGTATCTGTCTTTCTCTGTCTGACTTCTTTCACTTAGCATTATACTTTGTAGGTCCATCCATGGTTGTTGAATTTGTGAGCCACTTTGGAAAACACTATGGAGGTTCCTCAAAAAGTTAAAAATAGAATTGCTGAATGATCCAGTAATTCCACTACCAGTTATTTACCCCCCCAAAATGAAAATACAAATTCAAAGAGATATGTGCACCCCTATGTTTATTGCAGCATTATTTACAACAGTCAAAATATGTAAGTGTCCATCTATAGATGAGTGGTTAAAGAAGATGTGGTATAGGGGCAACTAGGTGGCTCAGTTGGTTAAGCATCTGCCTTCAGCTCAGGTCATGGGGAACAAGCCCTGCATTGGGCTCCCTGCTCAGTGGGAAGTCTGCTTCTCCCTCTCCCACTCCCCCTGCTTGTGTTCCCTCTCTCACTGTGTCTCTTTCTGCCAAATAAATAAATAAAATCTTTTTTAAAAAGAAGAAGAAGAAAATGGGTATAGATATATATGGGTGAATACTGCTCAGTCATAAAAAAAGATTGAAATCTTGACATTTGTAACAACATGGACAGATCTAGAGGGTATAATGCCAAGCAAAATAAGTCAGAGAAAGAAAAATACTAGATGATTTCACTCGTATGTAGAAACAAAGCAAAGAAAAAAAATAGAAAAAGAAAAAACCCCAGACTCTTAAATATAGAGAAGAAACTGATGGTTACAGAGGGAAGGAGGTTGGGTGATGGGTG